TCACTCCCTTCGCCCCCCCCCCCTTAAGAGCCCCCCCCCCTGAAAAAGGGCCCCCTCCCCTTCAAAGGTTTCCCCATCCTCCCCCCCCCCCCCCGCTTTTACAATGGCAGATCCGCAGCATATAAAAAGCAATTGCTAAACTAGCCAACATAACAATCTACTATTAAATCTTGCGAGGATTCTGACAGTGTCCATCAGAGAGCTCCAAGCAAGACAAGGAGGAACCCTCCCCTGTCTGAAAGTTCCACTCGGCTGGAAGACAGGGACCAATGAGAAGGTAGGAAAGCGGGAGGAGGAGCTAGGCATGCAAATGGATCCTGAGGTCAGTGGGGTTAACATAGGAAGCCCCCCATAAAGCTCACTTGTATTAACACATTGGCTCAATCTCCAGAAGCCCCAAAACTTCTCAACATGTTGGGAGCATCTCTCCTTGTCCTTCTGGGGGTCTGGTGCACAGGTGAGTGAAGGAGAGCCCAACACAAGACCTTTCCCCAAATACTGAGCCCAAGAACACACATTTATGGCATTATTCTTCCTCCAGGATCCAGTTCTCAGCCTACAGTGATTCAGGAATCTTCCATGTCACCTTCCCTTGGACAGACCGCTAAACAACATTGGGGGAATGGCTCTTCCCTGACATCAATAGATCCTGAGAAAGGTCATCTTCTCATCATATATGAGGACAGAGAAGGGTCCACAAGGATCTCGGACACTTTCTCTGGCACCAACTCCTGCAACACAGCCACCATAAGCATCTCTAGAGTCCAAGCACAAGATGAGGCAGAATATACTCCCAGGTGTGGGACAGTGACCAGTGCAGAGTAGTACAAATTAGAGGGAGGGAAGAGAAATGGCTGCTTCAAAAGAGCTCCATGTTCTCTGATGGCTAGGAGAAGTTCAACTCTGTCCTGCAAGGAAGATCTCCCTCTTCCAAAGGCTTCAAGACTTGGCAAAAGAGAGACAGAATGCTGAGCAAGGACTCTGTCTAGCATCAGGTCAAAATTCTGGGTCCTGACCTCCAAGAGCCTTTATCTCCTTTTCATTTCTTTGTGTAACCAACCGCACCACATACAATTCTTGACATGAAACCAATTGTGTTATATATAGGAATTTGTCATAAATATAGAAGACCTGTGAGAGGTTTTAAAATGAGGCTTAAAAGAACAAAAATCAATGGATATGCTCAATCCAATGACCATATCAGGCAAATCTTGCATAATAGTTTCGCATTCATTAATGTAGTTAATGAGAACTTTTGAGAAAAAAGAATGATTACCTATTATTGCAAGGCTGAAGAACATCATCTGTCCCACTCATTCAGCAATGCACTTTCTCCTTCCCTGGCCTGGCGTGCACATTGCTCCCTTCTGATGGGAGCTGAAAACATGGGGGGACATAATTTCTTTTCTTTCCAGGTTTGAAGATATCAGTGTGGGAATGGCTGTACTGGATTGTGATTTACTGAGCCACAAGGCTGCAAGAAGAAACATCAGGGAAGACCTACAAGATGCATTGTTTAAAGAAGGCAAAGTATTACAAAGAAAAGGTCAAGATTTAAAACTCCATTTGTAACAGAAGTACTTCTCCACTTTTGCCAAACCACCTAAAGACTTGGATATTGTGTCGAAAAGTATTGCTTCCCTCTGGGCAGGAAGAAAGCAGCATCTAACTTTAATGGAATATTCAGGTATTCCATCGTTAAAATATGCAGGTTTCAGAAGAAGGTTTCAGCTAGAAAGAGAAAATTTGCTGATATTCTCCCCACTGTGACCACATGGAGGAGCTCTTCCACTAAACTCCACTTTCTTTAATATGGCCCTTAAAATCTTTTCAGAATTAACACTGACATAAGACTACAGCAGAAGGATCACTTCTGTCCGCTGAAGCCCAAAGGCTTAAACCTGGAGAGTGAGATGATGAACATGATTTTCCCCACCCTCCTCCTGAATCCAAATCAGCCAATCCACACTTAATTAACATGGCTGAACATGGCTGATCCTGAAAAAGATAAGCAGCGTCAGAGCCAGTTAGAGCTTGAATGGGACCCTTCCAAGGACTCCCAGATCTCTAGCCCAGAATCGCAATATCTATCAGAGAGCTTCAGGCAAGAAAAGGAGGAACCTTCACCTGTCTGAAAGTTCCACTCAGCTGGAAGAGATGGACCAATGAGAAGTCAGGAAAGCAGGAGGAGGAGCTAGGCATGCAAATGGAACCTGAAACCAGTGGGGTTATTATAGGAAGCCCCCCATAAAGCTCACTTGCATTAACACATTGGCTCAATCTCCAGAAGCCCAAAAACCTCTCAACATGTTGGGAGCATCTCTCCTTGTCCTTCTGGGCATCTGGTGCACAGGTGAGTGAAGGAGAAACCAACACAAGTCCTTTCCCCAAATACTGAGCCCAAGAACACACATTTATA